TTTCTTCGAGAGCAGCATGCATCTCACGGAGTTTGGCCGCTTCCTGCTCCATCTCAGCAACGCGTTTCTTCATTGCCGAAATCTCTTCCTATGCGCAGGCATTTCTTGTTAGCCAACAAGATCGAATAAACTTTACTCTCGTACAAAACATCTCGATAGGACTGTCTATACTGGGATCGGAATGGAAGTCGCACCTCATCATTACCCTCCTCGTTGACCATGGGGTCCTCTCCAGTAATATCGCGCTCATCGTGATTCGTGTCGGACATGATGCTTGACGTGACTATATTCCCGAGGCACGTTAGCACGGTTTGTCAATATGCAAGACGCGTAGGTGAAAATAAAGGCGAACCTGCAACGTTCTTAAAAAAAAAAAAAAAAAAAAAAAAAAAAAAAAGAGAGAGAGAGAGAGACTGACCCCTCCCTGGCTCGGCGATAGCCTTGGTTTCTTGTCGAGACAGGAATTTCCCAGTAAATTAACAAATCCGGGAGACTGAAAGAGAAAAGAAAAATAAAACGGAGAATACGGAGGGAAAGAAATTCTTATCGGCGACAAGAACGCATCCGATATGCTACAAGCCCAGGAAAGCGCAAGCGTTGGGGACTTGAGACTCAGAACTTGGGTGGTTAGTTTTAAAAATGCGCTAGAAACAAGGCAAATTAGATGCTTCCCGTTTCTGGAGCTCCAAAAGCTGTAGTGGAGAGTAAAGCGCAGAACCGTAAAGTCGTACAAGGCGTAACAGAGGGATGGGTCACCTTATGTAATCTTTTGCATGCACCTGCCTTTTGCCTGCAGTTTCTTTTTTTTCTTTTTTATCGATGCCCACTTTCCAAGGTTTTTTTTTTTCTTTTTTCTTAACGTCCAGACGTCTCAGCAGCCTAACAGCCTGGCAGCCCTGGCAGCCCGGGGCCAGGGCTCCCATAGTGGGTCTGATCCGGCAAGGATCAGGCGGATAAGTACATTAGGTACATGCAAGTACCAGACGTAGCGAATTGAAGACTGAAGTGAATAACATCCGTTAGGTAATTAACATTGTAAAAAGTAGGAATCGACAAAGAATAGCTTTAATTATTTGTGACCGATAAGAATGTCGAGAGGTACATAACTTATTTTGAGATAACGACAGTACTTTAGGTACCTAAGTATCTACGAAGCACTGTATTTTGTTTTCGTCGATATCTATAAATCCTTGATAAACCAAGACCGACATGTTTATAATCCACCATTCGTCGAGGATCGTAGCTGGTGAAACTTGGTGTTAGGCAGACCTTGATGAGTCACCTATACCTGAGCCTGTGTGCAACTATCATGCACGGACAACTCTCCTTCATAAGTGACAACGAAGTCACCTCCTGACGATGAATATAGGCAGCAACCTATCCTAAGACCTGTGTAAAAGCAAGATTCGGCTCAAGTACCTTACCGTATGCTACGTCACTTAAGCATAGTATAGTCTTGGAATAGCGAGAACTTGTGATATAATTGGGGATCATTGATAGATGGGAAAGGTCACGATCTAGAAACCTAGGTATTTACTTGGGTACTTAAGTAGAGAAGACCATACTGGGTGAAACTACGGCTAAGAGAAAAGGGGGCTTCAAGGCTAATCGGTTTATATTATACTGGGCTTGGGTCCCCCTATACGGTAAAACTTTTGGTTGACATTTATTCTAGATAGCTAATCGTGACTCGAAACTATCGAAGATTCGACTCAAGATTCGAATGCAACCTCAAACGGCCCATCGAGAGGCCACGATCCCTTCTGAGTAACCGGCTTCTCACCGCCAAGAAGCACCACACTCTCTACCACGACATCAGTCGAGTAACCAAATGTGCCATTAACCTGAAGCGTCGCGCCGTCCCACGTAAAGCTTATATCCGACTTAGCATCGCCGACATCCAAGCTATCTCCGTCATCCAGGTACAACGACCCCTTGGCCTTGCCGTCCAAGCCCGGCGCCACAACGATTTGGAAATTATTCTGTCTCAGCAACGTAGTGGTATTCGCCGACTCACTCCGAAGAGGCAGCACCGTACCCCCGCGGATGTGGACCGGGATATCAGTCCAAGCGACATTATCCGCAGTAACCGTCTCACCCTTCCCACGAACTGGCTCCAGCGTCCAGAAATCGTAGAAGATATCGTCCGGCAAGTAATACGTGACGCTCTGGCTGTAGTCCTCCGTAACGGGCGAGACTAGAATCGCATCTCCGTAGAAAAACTGCGTATCGATACCAAACGTCTTCTCGTCCTCGGGGTACACGAAAAACAGCGGGTTGGCAATCGGTTCCCCGGTCTCGCTAGCTCGGTACATCGCCGTGTACACGTAATCCAGGAGCTTATACCGCGCGTCGATAGCCTTCCTCGCGGCCTGGGCGACCAAGTCCCAGAGATAGAATTCCTGCGCCGGAGCCGATATGTCCGCGTGGTTACGATAGAAGGGCATGAAGGCGCCAAGCAGAGCCCAACGCGCACACATGTGCTCGTCGGCTACGCCGTTGAACCCGCAGACGTCGGAGCCGACCATCGGGACCGCGTGCACGGCGGTGAAACCCAGGAGTTGCGGGATCGTCACTCGGTAGTCAGACCATGTCGAGTTGTTGTCGCCGAACCAGTGCGCGGCACGAGAGCCGGCGCCCGCGAAGGACGAGCGAGTTAGCACGAAGGGACGGCTCTTGGGGCGCCGGGTTAGGAGCGAGTTTCGGGTTGTGGTAATCATAGTTAGGCCGTAGAGGTTGTGAGTGTCGTATTGGTAGGTGCCGTCTGCATTTGTAATGTTGCTATAAAGCGTGGCATCGCTTAGTTCACCCTTGTGGTTGTTGATACGGTACTTGGGCTTGAAGAGGTCCCGATCGGGAAGGCCCTTCATCTGCCCACCATTCGTCTGTCTAGACTGCAGTGTCCTAGACTTGGTGGCCGGGGCGGGCTGGAAGTCATCAGGGAACCCAGGGATAGGCCGTCCGGTGTTGTCTCGGGGAGGGTTGGTCGGCTGAGGGGGGTTATTGCCCTGTTTGGCTGCCTGTGTTGGGTCACAGGAGACGTCGCCGCAAAAGTTGGACGCTTCGTTCATGTCGTTCCAAGCACCGTCAATGTCGATACCAGTTTCAGGATCGAAAAAGCGCAAGATCTCATCCGTCCACCAGTCTTGGGTATTCGGCGCGATCCAATCTGGCCAGACAACCTCGCCAGCCCATTGGACTCCTCGATAGTTAGATCCGTCGTCAGCTTTGAGGAAGACGCCTTTCTCATCGCCTCTAGTAAAGGTAGAATAGTTCCCAGACTTGTGGATACCGGGGTCGAGCATCATGATATAATGCTGGTTTCTCTTATGCAGAGTATCGACTAGTTCTCGCATTTTATGCAAAGGAAATCTCTCCGGGTCTGTAGTAAACACTTGTCGGAGATCCATATAATCGATATCACCCCATAGTGTCTCAAGAGGGATATTTGCTGTAGAATAGTTCGCAACGACTTCAGCAGCGTAGTTCACATCCCAGTACCCGTATTTGCATTGATGAAAACCAAATGTCCAATAAGACATCATAGCAGGCAGGCCTACAACTTCAGCATACTGTCGACTCACCTCAGAGGGGCTAGGCCCAGCCAAGAAATAAAAGTCAAGTACTCCGCCGATGATATTATACTCCAGGAACTGGTCACCTGAGTCTGTCTGATCTATGTTGATATCCATTCCGTTTGCGTTTAGGAGAAAGACGCCATGGGAACCTGAAGCACCTCGGTGGTCAAGGTACATAGGGTGAGTTCCGTAGAGGTTTGAGTGTCGCGGAATAAAAGGTGACTCTGAGTTCCAGAAGGTGCGCTGATATTTCTCACTAGGGAGTCGAAAGGAATCACTATGCTCGCCTAGCCCATAAATATTGGGATCTCTAGGCAATTGCGTCCTAAGGTAGACATATTGAGATTCGAATACTAGTTGGCTTCCGTTGGTATTAAATAAGACATCTCCTGAGCTAGACCGTGTGATGGAAAAAGAGAAGGGCTCTTCTATAAGCGAAAACTTCAAGGCGGCATCTGATGAAGAGACATTTTGGCTAGATGGTCTTGAAAGTATATGTTCTTGAACTTGGTATACATCAAGGCCGGTATCATATATCTTTACATGTAACCGAGTATCTATTTGTTGTTTAGTTGGTATGGTATTATATAGGCCTCGAGCTCGGTTTAAATAACATACCAGTCTGATACTCGACAAGCAACTTGAGGTCGGGCAGGTCTGTGCCATAAATATTACATGCGCCACTGGCAAGTGTCAAATCTGCAGTAAGAGTACCATCTGCGTCTATAACATTAGAAGCTGTATAGCCAGGACAATCCTCGACGGACGTCGCAAGAACGTTGGCCGCAAAGGCTGCTAGAGAAAAGAGAGGCTTCATTGCAACCTACTGATCTACTCCATTTCCATCAAGCTTTCCTTCCCGGGGGCTTCTTCGGCTTTTATACAGCTACGTTATGGATATTTAGGGACGTTTATGGGCAACATGGTCACGAGCTGGTGATATCGTAGCTTGGAGTGCATAGCTATGGTGCATAGCTACGATGCATACATGTAGGTAGCTAGCTACCTGTATCTAGCAGGTGAATTATATAGACGAGAGGTGCGTTTGTGGGGAAATATGCGGGAGGGCGATACGCGGACACGGTAACTTTTGATTCGTCGTCGAAGTTGGGGGCCATGAAGTTATCTGGGGGAGTATGGGGTACAGATGACCCTTTTAAAGGTTACGTCCCGACTATGTTCAACGACACATAGAAAGTTGGAAGGGGTGTATCTGGGTGGATACACAATAAGGATTTAGTATTGGTTTTTGAACGGAGTTATTCGCATTCTGGTCGTGTCACGGCGAATTTCTCGGCCGAATCGGAGTTTCTCAGCAGCAAACAGGAGGTACCTACTTAGACACCAATAAGAAACCATCTTTCAACTCCGCCAATAGGATTGCGTCTTCGGAACTCTAAAGGCACAAGGAGAAAACAAGTAGCTTTGGTGGCTCAGTTGGTCAGAGCGTTGGTCTCATAGAAATATGACTCAATTCACCAGAATTGGGATATCCAAAGGTCGTGAGTTCGAGCCTCACCCAGAGCATCGCTTTTTGCCCTTTCCCCTTCCTAGGGATCCTTTTATTTTTATTTAGTATGGGCTTAATAACACCTATCTTATATCGATCGAAATATTTTGCCCTTCAATTATGTGTGCCTTCTCATAATGCATATTACGTAGGAAGGGCAGGGCTATGTAGCATAGGTGCTTGAGGGTATTGCCTAGGTACCTACTACCTACATATGGTATTCGAGGGTTTGAGAGCGGTATTAATGTAGCAATGCACAAATCGGCTACTCGTCTTTCATATTAGTTTGATGCTGGTTCTAATGTGAGAACCACTACTCGACATACACTACCTGGCCATTGTCTGCTTACAGGTTGTATCAAACTTACCACAAGTGATGGAAGTTTGACCGATATGCTCTGGCAACTCATGGTAAATTCAAACTGCGTCGTTGGGTAATTCGGCTGATAGCAAGCGTCCGGATAGTAGTCCTGAATGGGTGTTAAGCGGGCTACACTTCATGATATGTAAGTATGCGCAAAACACAGCCGTTACATTTTCTTCTAATGGTGAACACAAAATTTTTGATTTTTGAAAATCACTCTTCCATGAGAACCGATTACCAAACCTAGAGTACATGATTCCCCATCCATTAGTCTATGATGAGAAACCGTTCCGGAGCGTACAACATATGCAGCAACAAGTAATACAAATGCGGGTCCTTTCTCAGTCGTCACCGTCTACCCCATTCCACCACTCTTAATACACCCCCTGGCTGCCTCAGAACTCTTAGTTCCTTGTCTTCGATTGCTAGGCTAGTCTCTGTCGTAGTTTATGTCGTGTGTTTGTTCGGACGAAATAGCTCGCAAGATCGAGGCATGTCAAGTGTATCTAGTAACAGCTTGTCACTTCCTCTTACCCTCGAACCATCGTGTCGAATAGATAGTCGTGGTATTGGACGACGGTCCCTTAGCAGCTGACGTCAACGCTAGCCTTAGAATTCATCAAAAGGGCGACGATGAGACCGTAAAGACCCAAGACTTCAGCGAAAATGAGGATAAGAATCATGCCGACGAAGAGTCTGGGCTGCTGAGCGGTTCCTCGTACACCTGCGTCACCGACGATACCGATAGCGAAACCAGCGGCCAACCCAGCAAGACCCACCGAGAGACCCGCACCAAGCTGAATGAAACCAGTGTAAAGAGGGAGCTGTTGGGACAAACCGTCCGAAATCAAGACAGAGACGACGAGACCGTAGATACCAATGATACCAGCCATAATGACGGGAACAATGTCTAAGAAAGTTAGTATTATTAAATCAAGCATGTTGATGACCGGAGATGGCGCGTACTCTTTACGATGAGGTCGGGTCTCAAAACACCCATAGCCGCGATACCAACACCGGACTTGGCGGTTCCGTAGGAGGCACCTAAGCAGGTGAAAACAATAGCTGCTGTGCAGCCCATGGCGCCGAAAAAGGGCTACCGGAAGTTAGTTTTGTATACCGAGTCGCATTCGTCTCAAAGGTTAGGAGAGGGAGGTATGCTGGCCGAGACGCGCGCCAAGGGAGAGTAAACTAACCGCGTAGACCGGGCTGTAAAGGAAAATGTTAGCATATTGAATTGAATATATTGTGAGCTGAATAACAACTGATGCGACGTTGCCTTAAGCTCGCGATATTGATGATTTGTGGTAGGTCAGGAGGCAATCATTAACTACGTACCAAGCTTCGGAGTATGACATTGTGACGACGTAATTGGGTTTTTTGAAGTAAAAACGAAAATAAAGGAATGCGGAATGAAAGTAGCTCGAAGCGAACAGATGAGAATGGTAGATAAAACGGAAAGTTTGCTGATGGGGGGAGAGCTTTAAGAGTTGTGCGTTGTGGTAATATGAGAGATTGTTTTAAGTTGCTCTAGTAATTGAAAGTAATGGTGGTTAATGGGTGGTGGTACTTATTACGGGGAAGAGAGGTGTTGCTTTGCCTTGGGTTCCAGGTTTACCTTTGATTGGGGCTTGATTTTGCAGCTCTGGGTCACCTGCAGCATAGATTATGTCAGCGGATTCCGGTTTAAGGTTTAACCGAAAATCTAAATTCCTTGGCGTTCTGAAGCTTGGACCTTTTGGTCCTTGAACTTTTTTGGTATTTTTTTTTTCTTTTCTGGTTCAGTTCTTCACTGAGATTTTTCGACATTTCAAGTCAACTTTTAACCCATTATTCCATATATTTCTCCCCAGGGCGAGCAACCGCAAGGAACCCTGCTCCGTCACAATGTCTGCTAACCAGGATCAAAGCGCAGGTGAGCTTTTTCGCAACCAACTGGTTCATCTTGCATATCGTACTGACCTATTATCAGCTTGGCCCGTCGCCGACCCGGCTCTTACCACCGAAATTCTTGATTTGGTGCAACAGGCTGGCCGTGAGTATATGCCAATTGCCTTCAATAATGTTCTATTCGCTAATTATGTCTCAATGAAGATGCCCGCCAGCTTAAGAAGGGTGCGAACGAAGTGACCAAGGCACTATCCAGAGGTATTGCCGAAATCGTCATTCTAGCCGCCGATACCACGCCGCTTGCTATCCTACTACACCTTCCTCTTCTTTGCGAAGACAAGAACGTGATCTACTGCTACGTTCCTAGCAAGGTTGGTGGGAAATTATCTCGCGTATATCATAAAATACTGACAATTGGGTAGATTGCTCTTGGCCGAGCCTGCGGTGTATCCCGAGCTGTCATTGCCGCGAGTATCCTTTCCAACGAGGCAAGCGATCTCTCCGGCCAGATCCGTAGCTTGAGGGACAAGATCGAGCGCCTCATGATTTAAGATACCCCCTAGAGTTAGGAAAGATAATTTAGGGTGCTACATTGGGGATTATTACCAAGCAAAAGGTATAATAGATCTGTAGCTGGGAGAATAGGTGCGAATATATAAAATTTAATTAGCACATTAGCAAGCGATTCGATTCGCTATTCGCTATTTGCTATAATGTACTGATCCTACTTTTTTACCCCGTGCTCCAAGAATTATGGCGTGCCAGCTTTAAGCTTTTAAGCTACTATTGGTACATCTATCTTTAACGTGTGTACCTGCGTTTGTTACATGTACTTCTGCATCTCTGAGCGCGTCCTGAACCAACCAGCCTTGAGAGATTCTGCCCCACCGTGTGACGGCATCAGCAATCAAGGCAACCCCACCAAAATTTAATTGATCCAAGACATCATCGCAGAAACCCATGAAAAATGACCATATCATTTTCTTAAACTTAATACATTTCATTCCTGTTCATATATAGTAGAAGTTTCTTCATATACGTACGAATATCATGATTGAATGCATAACTATCAAGGATGCCTAATCTCGCGCGAAAGCTGCTTATATGCGCAGCCGTTGACGGCCTCATAGTCCAACCTCTTGCGACAAAAGGGCAACGAACCCCTGTGCCGGTCAAAATCAAGTATGGAGATGCCACAGTATCTTCACTTCCTCGCGATCAAACACCGGATACCTCGAAACCAAATTCATCCTTTGAGGCTTTCGGGGTTGTGGGTTAGTCTCATCCAGAATAAATCACGCTCATAGATAGATTTGTTAAAGTAGTTTCTAACTGGACTTCCCCGCAGGGCTCTTCACGGTCTCCCGCTTGAGTTATCTCATCACTATTACCGGCCGCCAGCAGGTTGCGCAAGTCCGCGGTTTTCCTGTCTATGTTGTGACTGACGTTGCGCTCACCCCGTGTACGAGCCAAAGCGAAGCTGAATCCGCCATCGCGAACACAGCAACCAAGTTACGGCGCGTATCAGCCGAGAAATTCGTCGAAGATAGCGATTCAGAAAGCGAGGTCGACGCGCGGTCAGTATCGGGTGGCGAAAATCTCGAGGATCCAGGGGCCCTAAGTGACCGCGAGACTTCTGAAGATAAAGACACCTCTGGCGCAGGCGGGAAGAGTAGCATAGCCGAAGATGTGATAAAGCGCCGCGGTAGCTATGGGCGATTTGCCCAACGCTGGTTTAGTCGCAAGGGCTGGATGATGGACCAGAAGCGGAACTTGGGCATGACCAGTGTCGAAACCGAGCAGACGGGTGATCAAGCCAGCGACGAGAGTAATAAGACGAAGAAGGGAGATACAGACAAGGAGTTGAGTGATACCGTGGTTCAGGAGAAGGTTGATCCACCTCCAACACCGTCGGCTGGTGAGAGTCTTATACCCAAACTGCTCCGGTTTTCACATATCTGGCTTGGGACTTCCCGGAGCTTTTTCTTCTCTTATGATTTGGATATTACAAGAAGTCTCGCCAGCCGGTTTACCACGCCAGGCACAGATAGCCTCCCACTCCACGAAATAGCCGATCCTACATTCTTTTGGAATTGCAATTTATTGAAGCCATTTCACGGGACTGCCGACGAATCGTTATTGTTGCCGGTAATGCAAGGGTTTGTGGGACAGAGGAGGTTTGTTGTGGATCGTCACCCGCCCCAAGTTGACTCTCAGGAAGATTCCGTGGAAATGAACGATATGACATCTCCCCTAGAGTCTAATATTGAATTTCCTCCGCCGGAGCGAGCGTCCAGTGATCTAAGGCCGTCCGAGAAAGAATTTGTTATTACTGTTATCTCTAGGAGGTCTACTAGGCGGGCTGGCTTGCGATACCTACGACGTGGTATAGACGACAACGGTCACACCGCCAATTTCGTCGAGACGGAGCAGATACTTTCAACCTCGACCTGGGATTCTTCATCCAAAATCTTCTCTTTCGTCCAGGTCCGAGGTAGCATACCACTTTTCTTTACACAGTCTCCGTATTCTCTTAAGCCGATTCCAGTACTACAGCATTCTCCAGAAGCAAACTTTAAAGCTTTTAAGAAACACTTTGAACTTATGAGAAAGACGTATGGATCTATACAATTAGTAAACTTAGTTGAGAAGCATGGCGTCGAAGCTATAATAGGTAAAGAATATGAGAAATCGGTTAAAAAGCTAAATGAACAAGAGAAGGAAGGTTCCCAATCGCTTGCTTTCGAATGGTTTGATTTTCAT